TTTAATTGACTATAAAGAGTGAATTAATTGATTAATTAGTTCAGTTAGTTAGAAAAATCTCTATAGACAAATTTTCTTTAACATTTTAAAACACATCTTTTAGAAATCATCAAAGCAATCTTTAAAGATCTTTTCAAGAGAGAAGCGCGCTCCTTCCAGTGAGAAATTTTAGAATTCTTTTTTGAGGCATTTTTTGTTCTTGCTTGTGAAGAAACTCATTCTGCAAAATAGAATTTTGCATCTGCATAACCGATTTGATTGTTCTAGTTTCTTCAACTCTTTCAATTCTTTTTAGTTTCTATATACTCTTGGTGTTTAGAAGATTGGGCATTGGTTCTGCAACTGGAACTTGGTTGTAGGTTAGGTTCAAGAACTGGAATTTGGTTCTTGGTGCAGGTTGGGTGTTTTGTAATTTGATTATGTAATCAAAGCATTTTCAATATAGTGGAACTCAACTGTAAATTGGTTGAGAACTAGGCGTAGCCCAGTGGTTTGGGTGAACTAGTATAAATCTTGATGTTTTTTTTCTTCACTCATCACTTTCCTTATATCTGTTTAAGTTTTCTTGGATTAATACTTGATCAGATCTCTTAATCTTTGAAATTGTTAATTTGTATATGTAAGTTGTGAAAAAGTTTGTATAGATCAATTCACCTCCCTCTTGATTTCAACCTATAATTCTAACATTGTTCACTCAGTGAATTGTTTATTTGTAAGTCTATGTGGTCACTGAAACTATTTCACCTAGCGATTTGTGAAGTGCTCAATGAAATTGCTTTTTGATTGAGCAATATGCTCAACGAATCATAATTCGCTCATTGGATTTAATCTAGTAGCTTCTGTTGGTTTGATTTTTTGTACAAATTTTGCTTATCTTTTCTCTTTTGGTTTTTAAACTTGAATTCTTCACTCGCATGGTACTAAACTTAACAAACAACAAAAATAAAAAGCAAGTACATTCCTCATCCACTCTTGAAAATATGAATCAAGACAATTTGGATTAGAGGACACTTAGGGAATTGGCTGCACCTAATGTTTTACATCATAATATATGCATTCAATTTGATGATAATGAGGATGTTCCATTTAGGCTTAAAACAAGTTTAATACATTGTTGCCTAGAATTTATGGTCTTGTAGGTGATGATCCACACAAACACCTTAAGGAATTTCACACTATTTGTTCTACTATGGGACTTCAAGGTGTTAGTGAGAATCATATCAAGCTAAAGGCATCCATTTTCACTATATGATGGTTTAAAAGAATGATTTTACTACTTACCTTCAGGTTTCATCAAAAGTTGGGAGAGCTCGAAGAGACTATTTGATATGAATCACAAGGGGTGATTTAGGATATTTAAGATTAGAACCTTGTAAGAAATTTACGAATTTAGTGATAAGGTGGAAGGAAAGAATCACTCTTTCCAAGGAAGGTAACTCACAAAGGATGTGAAAGTCCTTTGATACAGTCAAGTGTTCTTGAATCACTTAAGAACTTAGGAGAATCACTCTCACTAAGATAAAAGAGATAAACTCTAATATTTCTAAAAATAAAACTCAACTTGTTATTTCTGATAAAAATGGTTCAGCTTGTAAAGAAGCTTTGTCATCAGAGTTACAAATATTCATTAAAGGAAACTAAATGCTAATAATGATTTATTAACCTAGGAATGGAAAATTACTTAATGATTGATTGTAACTGAAATTGTGGCATCAAAAAGTCAATCAGCAAAGACTGATAACTAAATTTTCAATTGGACTCTTATTATAACTTGTAATAAAACTAAACTAAAGCTCATTAATTGATTAATCCAAAACACAATTTGGTCAACCAACAATACTTGTTGAAGAGCTTCATTTTCTTTTCTTGCTTTAGCCCTTATCATAGGTCATGTTCACATCACTATTTCTTGAAAAATACTTTATAGCCTCAAGATCTACTTCAATTCAGAAGAAAATATGTGGTATATGACAGTTAGATAGAAAGCTTATTTTATTATTGGGAGAGATTCAAAAGGTTATACTCAAGTTGCCCTCACCACCAAATAAGTGACCAACTCCTCATCCAGATATAAAGTTTTATCTTGGGAAATTTCCTTAGCGCACAAATAATTCGCTCAACGAATATTAGTCAAAGAGTTCATTTCAAAATTCAACAATCCACTGAGAAAATGAGGAATTCGTTGAACGAATGTGTCGACCTCTCATAACTAACTTAATATCAAATCTGTTGAGCAAAATAAGAAACTCTTGAGTGAATTCATCACAAAATCTCAATTCTACAAAGAGTTATTTGAGTTTTATTATGTAATTATGGGCCTTGTGCACTTTGTACACTTTTTTTGTTGTATAAATATGTTTTAGAAAGTTAAAAGACATAAGTTAAGTTTCATTTTCTAAATTTCAAGTTTTAGAATCCATTATCTCTCTAGTTTTCTCTCTTTTGTGATGCTTAGCTTCCAAATCTATCTTATGAGCTTCTTGTACGAATAATGTTTTGAAGTTTATCAATTCAAGTTGTTCTAGATCATATTTGTCTCATTTCTCTTTGCTTCTTACTTTTAATTTTCGTTTCCAATACTTTCCTTCCACTTTTCAAGCATTTCTTTTAATGTTTTCATGCTTTTATTGGTTTTCTTCTTCTCAACAATGTCCTTATTCATTTTTGTTGTTGATTCACCTATTAAAACTTGTTTCCTATTATTTAAATTTAGTTCTTATCAATTCTAACTAATTACAATTCATACAATCAATGTATTTGAGGTTTTTGATTAAATATTTGATTTTACATCACAATTTAATTCCTAGGCTTAAGTGATTTTTTTATTTAGGAATTAAATTTTGTTTACTTATTATAATTGATTGGAACTGTTGGGAGTTTATTTTTGTGATTGCTAGACAAATTCTAGAAATAAATGATAATAATATGAATAAGTTGATAATTGAAAAATTAACTTTAATTTCCTATTGTTTTCTACACAAATCTTTATTGTTTTTAGTACATAACTTCATTTTAATTCTACTTTAAACTTAAATTTTAGTTTAAAATGCTTCTTTAATGTTAAGTAGGATTTAGGTTTACTAAAATTCTTTACTCCACTTCATTTACAGTTTTATGATAGGTTTAATGTTTTTCTTTACAATTCAATGCACTTCATAATTTTCTTTTAATGTTTTCCTAGTTTAGGTTTATGATCTTTTCATTTACTACTCCCTTATATAAATTTATTGTTTTAATAGAAGATTTAGTTTAATTTTTACTGCATTTCCTATTTTTGCATCCTAATACTCAAAATTTACTATATTCTTAATATTTGATAATTAAGAAAAAAATTTAAACAAAACTAAATAATCGTTCGTGAGGACACGTACTAGGTCAGATCCTCACATTATATTATTTTTATTACGATGATATCTAAAGAACAAGATTTCATTCATTCTCAAAATTGCTAAATGTTGAATTATTGGCAAGCGTACCAAAATTATCAATCGCAGTATAGTATTTTGATTAAATAAAATTCAATCCCACAAGAAATGGTTTTAATGGAAATTCCCAATTATATGTTTACTAAGTGGATTAAAAAAAATTGGATTTTGCATAAAGAGTTGAATTGAAATTAAATGACAAAGGACTGTAAATTGTTGAGAAAAGATCAATTAAAGGCACTTAGGATTAACTTCCTTCCTTTTCCCTCTTTTGTAATGACTATGTCAATTAAGAACGTCAATTAACCTAACAATGTTGATGTCACATACTCAAATCATCCATGTTGATTTCCCACACATGAAGTTCATAAGAAAACCTAATAAATGTTGATTCCTCATACAATTAAGAGATTTTTCAGCATTAGGTTTAGGGTGTTAAGCAATTGATACATTCATTCCATTCTTGGCAATTAACGTAATAAATATTCTTACCGTGATCTAGGGTTCAAGATATATTTCCCAATCATACCCCAAACATCAAGAATAAATCATTTCAAAGCACAAAGGATAAGAATAATAACATCAAAACATAGATTAATATCTCAAAATGATACAAAAGAGTTCAAAAAAAATGCACCAAATCCCAAGAGAATGAAGTTAGTCACTCATGTTGGTCATTACAATGCTCTAAATGAGGAAGAAGTGAAGAATTGCTGAAGATTGAGCGAAACCCTAGCAGTAGTCGCGCTTCTTCTCCCCAAAATCGCTTGTTTTTCTCAAAACACATCTTATCTTTTTATAGGAAAAATTAGGTCTCGCGTCTTTCGCTCAAGCGATAACTTTTGCTCAAGCGAAAGTTTCCTATTTTCGCTTAAGCGACAAAACACTCGCTTGAGCTAGTGAATTCCAGAGAAGAATAACTAACATTTGCTCAAGCGAATTTTCTTGCGATTGACTTTCAGAGAAGAATAACTGATATTCGCTCAAACGTGAGTCCATCTCGCTCGAGCGACTTCTATGCTGAAAATTTTCTTCCTTCTTCTAGTTTTACTTCAATTATGCTGACAATTATGTTCCTTACTCTTGTATCGATATTCTCAAATTCATCATATATTAAGAGAAAAATATATTAGAATTACCATAAGTTAAGTGGTTTCATAACCATTCAAGATATAATTATATTATTTTTTTACTACTTAACACTAAACACGTCAATAATATAAGATATGACATATTATAACCACCCCAACCATAAAAAAAAAAAAAAAAAAAAAAATAATAATAATAATAATAATAAATTTATAAACTGTAGCATTAACGAGGAAAATGGTGCAGATACCGTTTTCATATTGTGTTTTTAAAAGATGGACCTTAGTAACATGGTTGATATTAAAAATCATAATGTAAGTTGAATAAAAGGAGAAGTAGGTGACATGAATATTGTATGAAAATGGAAGGCGGGTTGCATTGTTTGACTTTGTGTACGTAAATTAAAAAGAAAAAGGATGGTGGAGTTGAGTTGATACGTAGGGTGGGATTGCTTGGGAGTGAACATAATTTGCTAAATATGTTTGGTTAGGCTTTTTCTGAAAATAGAGATTTCTTGAAGGAACAGAAAGATTTCCAAAGCAGAGCATGAACACTTTTTCCATAAATTGAAGGAGTGTTGAATGGGAGATAGAGAGGGAGGGATTGACACGAACAAGACAGCGTGACAGAAGAGGGGGGAATGGGGGGGCTTTTCTGACTGAGATTTGCTTCCCTTAACAAAACCAAACAAAAGCCAATAGGTTAAGAGAAAGGGAATATTATGACTCATAGAAAGAAGAAAGGAATAGTCGGGTAGAGGCGTAGAGCAATAGACAGCATAAACTGAATGAATATGAATAGATAAACGAACAAACAAACTAGCATAGTATGTTAATAGTATATAGTATATAATATAGCTTAGTGTATGGCTTGGCATGACATGAGTACACTCTCTGGCTTAGGCAGCTAGCTTTAGCAGCACCAAAAGCTTTTTTTCCTTTTGGTAGTTCACGCCTCGCTGTGCTGTGTAAACTGTAAAGAAACCTATCAGTTCGATGGGATTGGACGTATGCATGTATGATCTGACACCACACTTTGTAGCATTCTGATTTTATTCATAATCATTTCTGCACCATCTCATATATAACAATATATAAAATGAAGAAATACAAATTTATAACACCTTTCATGCATTAATCATAATTTCATAAATTGTTTTCATTTAATTAGTTTTTCCAAATATAAGTTTTTAAATATGCAAATGAATTGAATATTTATACAAAATTTGTGTTACTTGTATTGATCATCTGCTTAAAAAAAGAATTATCTCTACAAAAAAGGTCTTTTTACTATCTATAGAAGCCTTTATTATCTATCCAAATACAATTTAAAATTGAAGAGTAATAATGTCCATTGGTTTGTAGTTTTTATATTTATTAAAATTATCTTCTTAATTTCTTTTGTTATGTTTTAAAGTATTTTAATTAAAATAAAAAGTTTAACTAATTATCTTGAGTTTGAGTTCTTAATATGTAACTACAATATTGATTTGTCATTTATGAGGCCTCCTACACAAAATATTTTAAATTTTGTACAACATTTTACTTTACAACATTCAGTTATTGAAGTTTCCATATCTATTATTATTAAGCAACAATTTTATATTACTCATTTCAATTTTAATCATCATATAGGAAAATAAGTAGAATCATATACTTTCTTTAAATGAATAAAGGACATTTTAAATTTTTATCTATTATTGATTTATAATGAAGCGACATTCGGATATTAGTTAAAATAATATTAAAATCTTGAGGATTTGACGATCAAAAATAGTTAAAAATTTATGGATATGAATGGAATAGACTTTGAAACTATAGAGATTTTTTTTATTTACAGAATTTATTAATTTAATTTTTATACAATATATTATTCTTACACAAAATTCAAAATTTTATTCTTACAAGTAATGACGATTATAAAAATATATATATACATTTTAAAGTTATTTTATAAATCTAACAAAATGTATATATATATATATATATATATATATATATATCCAATATCTTATGAAAAGTAAAAGTTATTAAAAAAGACTTTTATTTTAACTACAGTTATAATTTGAGTTATTTATTAACTTCTTACAATAGTTAGAAATTAAATTAAATTATACAAATATTCACACAAGAAAATAAAACCAAACTGGGTGGTGACTTTTCAGCAGTAAATATATTATCATATAATGATTTTTTTAGTAAGATTTTCATGAACCTTTTTCATGCTAGAGTTGTCATCTACATACATATGAAGTGTACTTCTCATTGATGACCTTGTTTTGTCCCTTTGTGGGAATAACCTGCGTTTGAACAGCGAGAAAGAGAAGAAAAAGAAAGAGAAAATGCCGCTACTCTTCTTGAGATTTGTCTGTTCAGACCAAGAAATTGGTTTCGATTTGGATGAATATTGAATTAATAATAATACTCATGAGCACTGTTTTATATGCTCCCATGTGTTTGTACTAGCTGGGAGTTGCGCTTTCATCAAGTGCATCTGTCTCACTTTTCTGCCACTATGTCCTTCCAACCTCGGCCTTGACAAAACAACACTGAAATGATAGATGCATTCATCAGAATTCACTTGCCTTTTCTTTCTCTTTCTTTCCCATCATCCAAAAGATGCTAGAGTTAGAGAGAGATGCATCAACTAATTAATTAATTATGCTTTTAATAAGTGAAAAATTCAACAAGCTAAAGCCATTTTCATCTTATATATATACACTTGTCCCCACTTACCACCAATGCCACACACCACACCACACCATAAACACAACACCCAATTATTTCTTTCTTCACATGATCACCACCACCAACTTCTAAATCCCACGTCCCTTGTTCCATTTCTGGTCGTGTTGCATCACACTTCTTCACTTCCAAAACCGTCTTCCCTTCTCTCCATTCTCCAACACCCCACTGAAAATGAGGAACAGAAACAACCATCCCAGGTGATTGCTATAGGTAGGAGGAGTCAGCAAACAACAACATCAACAATTATCCTTCTAAAGCCACCCACCTTTTTCGTTTTTCCTTGTGGAGGCTACACTGCTTTCCCCTCTTAGGTTGTTCCCTAAAAACGTTTTTACAGCCATTTCCCCCACTATGTATCTTTCCAAGGAAAATTTACACAGCAAAAGAAGAAACCATGCATAACCTTTCCTTTAACATTAAAGGCAAGCCTAGCTAGTATAAAATACTATACCACACTACACTCCTCAGCATTTCCTATTTCCTCCACTTTTTTACCTTGTGCCTTGTTGTTAAACTGAGCAAGCAAAGGCAATCTAATATATATACATATATATATATATATATATATATCCATCCTGAGCCAACCGAATATATTTATACATATGGAAGGTTTTCACCCTTCTATGACATCTTTTTCGTACACATTTCCCATCGGTGGTGCTGGTAGTAGTACTACTAGCAATCTTACCACTGGCACTTACAGCACTTCTACTCCATGGATGAACAGCAGAATATGGAGCAAGCTCCCTCAAAGGCTTCTTGACCGTGTCATAGCCTTCCTTCCTCCGCCAGCTTTCTTTCGTGCACGTTGTGTTTGCAAGAGATGGTATGCTCTTCTCTTCTCCAACACCTTCCTTGAATTATACCTCCAAGTCTATCCACGCCGTCACTGGTTCATGTTCTTCAAGCACCACAAAACCTGCAAGAGCTACATCTACAAGAACAATAACAACGGTAGTGGTTGTGCACATGGTGCAGCCTCTTCCTGTGAAGAAGGGTACCTCTTTGATCCCTCTGAGATGGCATGGTACCGCATTTCCTTTGCTTTGGTCCCTTCTGGCTTCTCTCCAGCCTCTTCTTCTGCTGGTTTACTTTGTTGGCTTTCTGACGAGGCAGGTCCTAAGACCATGCTTCTGTGCAACCCTTTGGTTGGTTCTCTCACTCAGTTACCTCCCACGTTCAGACCTAGACTCTTCCCTTCCGTTGGCTTAACCATTAGCCCCACCTGCATAGATGTCACTGTTGCTGGGGATGACATGATATCTCCTTATGCAGTGAAGAACTTGACATCTGAAAGCTTTCACATCGATGGAGGAGGGTTTTACTCCTTGTGGGGCACCACCTCTTCTCTGCCTAGGCTTTGCAGCCTTGAATCCGGTCGAATGGTTTATGCTGAAGGGAAGTTTTACTGCATGAATTGTAGCCCTTTTAGCGTGCTGGCTTATGACATCACATCAAACAGTTGGTTTAAAATACAGGCTCCCATGAGGAGGTTCCTCAGGTCTCCGAACCTGGTTGAGTGCAAGGGGAAGTTGCTTCTTGTTGCTGCTGTTGAGAAGAGCAAGCTGAACGTGCCAAAAAGTTTGAGGGTGTGGAGTTTGCAAGCCTGTGGGACAATGTGGGTGGAGTCAGAGAGAATGCCGCAGCAGCTTTATATTCAGTTTGCCGAATTGGAAGTTGGAAACGGGTTTCAATGTGTAGGGCATGGGGATTTTATTGTCATCATGATTCGTGGAACAGACAAAGCATTGCTGTTTGATATATGCAGGAAGAGGTGGCAGTGGATTCCACCTTGTCCTTACACTGCACATGATGACTTTGAATTGCATGTTTTTGCATATGAACCTAGACTCGCCACTCCAGTCACTGGCCTCCTTGATCAATTGACACTTCCCTTCCAGAGTTTTAGTGCTTAAATGAGAAAATCATTTATAAGTTTCTCATATGAATGTAATGATTTTAATCATGGTGTGGCAATCGAGGAATGCATGTCGCACATTAGCTAGGAGAATGAAAATTAATGCAGTCGTAGTAATTTCGTTTGTAGTTTCAAGATCGACGTGTCACTGCACTAGTTAATTACCTAGCTGTTCTATAATAGTTTTGAGGTGTGATTTGAAATCTAATCAACTAGGTTGTGAGTACAATTTTAAGTAGCCTCTTTTTTATGTTATCAGCTTCCACATGCAGTAGCTATAATGTCTATTACATGTTATTTTCCGGCTCCCTCCTAATAACATTAAATTAGGTCTAATGGTGAATGTTTAATTAACCCACTATTGAATTCATTCATATCTCCCAGTCTTCTATAGTGCTAAATTTATCTCATGAACTCTGAACCCCTGAATTGGACCAATTTGCATACAAGAGATGAGCTTATTCCTGGTTATACAAATCATCTCCCAAAACGAAAACTTCCACTATTCTTCGGTAAGAGAGAACAGTGAAAATGTAATTAATTTTATCATTATTATATTTATAGAAAACGTTATTAAAGGATCGTTTATTTATATAAGATTGTGTATACAGGCTCTTTTAAAAATAATGATATATGTACAATCATCTTATAGAAAACATACAAGTAGATTTATTAATATAATAATTATAAAAGATTTCCATCATAAAAGTAATTAAAAATTATCATTTTATAATTAAATGAGTCATGAAATATTATATTTTGAGAAAAGGATTTGAGAGAATATATTTTCCCTTTAAAATTTATTGTTCCACGCTTTTTTAGTTTCGTAACTACAATATTTACTATATCGGAAACTTTCTTTTATAATATCTATTTTTATATTAATATATTTAGATGTGAAATTGAATGTTCGAGAGGTAAGAATATCATCCTCTTACAATTTATTTTTATTGGTTAAAATCAGTATGTGTGTGTGTGTATATATATATATATATATATATATATATATATATATATATATATATATATATATATATATATATATATATATATATATATATATATATATAATTAAAAGGAATGTTGATTAAAAATTAAAATAAAATGTATTAGATCTGTGGTTAAAAATTAAAATGAGGGTGTGTGATATGAATCACAAGAGGTGATTTATGATCTTTAAGTTAGAACCTTATAGAAAATTTAAGAATTTAGTGATAAGGTGGAAGGAAAGAATCACTCTTCCTAAGGAGACAATTCACAAAAGATGTGAAAGTCCTTTGATACAGTCAAGGGTTCTTGAATCACTCAAGAACTTAGGAGAATCACTCTCACTAAGATAAAAGAGATAACCTTTAATATTTCTGAATAAAACTCAACTTGTTATATTTGATAAAAATTTGGTTCAGCTTATATAGAAGTTTTACCATTAGAAATACAAAGATTCAATAAAGAAAAATAAATGCTAATAATAATTCATTAACCTAAGAATTGAAAACTACTTAATGGAGACAATATAAAGGCTAATAATGATCCATTAACCTATAAATTGATACTACTTAATGACGGATTATAACTAAAATTGTGACAACCAAAAGTCAATCAGCTATGCACCCTCTTTATCTCCCAAAGACGATGACTAAGTTTTCAATTGGGTCTTTATTACAATTTGCAATAAAACCAAACTAAAGCCCATTAATTGATTAATTCAAAACACAATTTGATCAACCAACAATACTTGTTGAAGAGTTTCCTTCACTTTCCTTGCCCTAGCCCTTGTCATAGGTCATGTTCACATCATTCTCTCCCTCTTGAAAAGGATTTGTTCTCAAATCAGATTCATCATCTACATAATAAAGAGATAAGTCTGACAAATTGAATGTAGACCTAACATTATACTTATTTTTTATGGCTAAATAGTTCTTTCTCACTTCAAATGTTTCATTATTCTTTTGATCACTCTTTTTCTTTGCAAGTGTTTCATTAATGCTTTCTTTTTCTCTCTTCTCTTGAAATTTTATTTTCCTCATTTTCTTTTTATCCTCCTCTGCCATCAATTTGATGTTCAAACCCTTAAATCGGAGCTCTAAATACCAACTTATATGAATCACAAGGGGTGATTTAGGATCTTTAGGGTTAGAACCTTGTAGAAAATTTAGGAATTTAGTTATAAGGTGGAAGGAAAATAATCACTCTTTCCAAGGGAGGCAACTCACAAAGAATGTGAAAATCCTTTGATACAACCAAGGGTTCTTGAATCACTAAAGAACTTAGGAGAATCACTCTCACTAAGATAAAAAATATAAACTCTAATATTTTTTAATAAAACTCAACTTGTTATATTTGATAAAAATATGGTTCATCCTATATAAAAGTTTTACCATTAGAATTACAAATATTCAATAAAGAAAAATAAATGTTAATAATGATTCATTAACCTAAGAATTGAAAACTACTTAATTGAAACAAATAAAGACTAATAATGATTCATTAACCTAGAAATTAATAATACTTAATGATTGATTCTAATTGAAATTGTGACAACCAAAAGTCAATCAGTTATGCACCCTCTTGATCTCCCAAAAACTGATGACTAAGTTTTCAATTGGGTCTTTATTAACTTGTAATAAAACTAAACTAAAGATCATTAATTGATTAATTCAAAACACAATTTAGTCAACTAAGAGTACTTGTTGAAAAGTTTCTTTTGCCTCTCTTATTCTAGTCCTTGTCATATAGGTCATATTCACATAAGTGTGAACACGAATATTCTTATAACTTCATTTTTTTTATTATTTAAATTACTCATACATTTTAAACCTTTTATTTTTACATTTTTCTTTAAATTAAATTGTAAGAATTATTTTAAAGAAAATAAAGTTGGAAAAATGTTTCTTACATGTCAAAACTAACTATTATTAGATTGGTTATAAGTAAAAAAAAAATATTACGAACTAACGTAGCTTATATTTTTGAAATAGGCCAACAATTAATTTAATCTGATGTTAGACTAATTGACTAATAAATTAATTTTAACTTAATTTAATTAAAAAATATTAATATATTTATACAAAATCAATTAATTAAAAATATTTAAATAAAAATTTAATTTTTTTAAATTTTTTAAATATTATTAATAAGAAAATTATCATTTAATTTTAAAATAAAAATTAAAAACTTTTTTTTATTATTTTTATTTATTTTTAATAATTATTAATTTAAAATAATAATTAATTTTAATCATTGGATTTAAAATATAATTAATTATTAAATATTTATTTTTAAAATAAATAAATCCTTATCAAATTAATTTATAATATATATATATATATATATATATTAATAAAATATTATTATTTTTATTTTATTTAAAAAATAATTATTATTTAAAAAAAATCGGCTCATAAACTGATGGACTAATATAAACTGAACATACGTATAAGTCATACACTAGTACAGAAAACACCTTTAACATCAGTTCTTAGCAGCTTTTTACATCGGTTCTACAACCGATGTAAATACAACCGATGTAGAAAGTTGGTGAGTTTTAACATCGGTTAAGAACCGATGTAGAAAGTCTGACTTTCCACATCGGTTCTAGGCCATAACCGATGTAGAAAGTCTGACTTTCCACATCGGTTATAGCTATAACCGATGTGGAAAATCGGACTTTCTACATCGGTTATGACCTAGAACCGATGTGGAAAGTATTAAAAATCACTTTCTACATCGGTTATGGCCATAACCGATGTGGAAAGTCATATTTTTTTTTAAATACGAATTTTAGTTTTTGATTTTTCAGAACCTGTACAACATTTTAAATATTTACAGCTACTCAGAATGTTAATCTATATATAGAGGACATGCATTAACACACAAGTAAACATAATGTATATTATATATCTACATTGTATTGTATCAACAAAAACAATAAACATGTATTATATTCTAAGTTTATATATACAAAGAAATTAGTAGTCCTAATGTTTCACAATTAAATTCAATCACGACTATAGTTCTTAATAATAAAATCTGCCCAAATTCGTCTAATGTCATCAATCTCTGCTTCACTTATTGGATGACCATCATCGAATATCTACAAACAAAAAAAAAACATTTCAGATAAGCAGAAGTAGGCAAATATATGTCAATGACATAGATATAGTCATAACACATACCAAATTCCATGAATCTGTGATATTTGCTGTGATGATTGTTAACATATGTCTCATCACATAATATCCGCACTCCCAACTTCCTTTTTGCTTATTACACTATAAGAAAAAAAAACATTAAATACAGAAAATGAGTAAATTAAAGTTAAGAATTTGAAAGATAATGTCCTTACACGTGGAAGTATCCATGTGGGTTTCTTTTTAGGCTTACCCTCCATGACTGAGTATGCTTCTATACACCTATAAAAGATTAAATGGAAAATACTTCATATTTAATCTGTCATGAACCAGACCTAGAGTATTTAATTAGTCACAAAGACAGATTCATATATAAGGGTGTTAGTATACTTACACATCAATAATCTGTTTAATTTCCTTTTTGGGTTTATTCCATAAAGAGCATAAAAAAATAGTCTCATTACGTTTAGGACAAAGGATAAACAGTTGCCAGTGAGACCTACAAAAAATGTCGCTCAATTAGCAATTCTTAAGAGATTCAAAGTTTGAAAGTAAGTAATTTAAAAAAACTTACCCATAATGATATGGTGCGAGATAAACTTCCTTTGATCCTTCACAAAATCTCTTTTGAATGTATGCTTGAATAGTATTTGGTTTGTTCCCCAAACTCTGAATGTGGACAGGATCAATGAATCCATAGACATCTTCTACTCCCTTTTCCGCAACAGCTTTGTTGAGGTAACTAGAAATTGAAAATATCATGTTAATTGCATTTTAGACAAGTTGGTGTCTAATAGGGCATACAACCAATTGACTTAAATAAAAACATAAGACTTACATTAACCAGACTTGGAGAATTGTGACGCAA